CCCGCCCCACCCCGCCCCGCCCGGCTGTTCCCCCGCGTTGTCACGCCACCCCCGCTGCCTCAGGCCCACCCCCACTGCTCTTTTTCAGCCTCCACCGTGTGCCCATCTCCATTGTATCTAGGCCTCAAAGGAGTGCCCAGTTCTCTCTGGGAGCCCTGTAGAGGCAAGTGACTGACTTCAGCTGCTCTGGATCAGGGTCCCTAGGTCCCTTGGGGGAAACTGTCCCCCGACTTCAGTGGGTCATAGATCACAGAACACTAGAAGTGGAAGGGGCCTTGAGAGGTCATCGAGTCCAGTCCCCTGCCCTCACAGCAGGACCAAGCACCGTCTAGCCCATCCCTGACAGGTGTGTGTCCAACCTGCTCTGAAATATCTCCAGGGATGGAGATTCCACCACCTCCCTAGGCAATTTATCCCAGTGTTTAACCACCCCGAGAGGCAGGAGGTTTTTCCTCATGTCCAACCTAAACCTCCCTTGCTGCAACTTAATCCCATTAAGCCCACACATCGGTCCTTCTAGGACGGCACCTACCGTGAGGAAGAGAATCTCACCCATCAGCTTCTCGTGGTTGGAGTCAATGCGGTGCAGCAAGGAGGTCCCCTGCTGGATGTGATCCATCTGCTGCTTCACGCTCCCCAGCAGCTCCTCGTAAATCTGCAAGGTCCCCTCCACTTTGGCAGCCTCCACTAGGGCTTGGTCAATGGAGTCCATCAGCAGCGTCACCTGCTTCTCGGACGAGATGATGGCCTGGAGATTGGCCTGGGGCCAAGAGAAGCAGAGAGCTCGGATGCAGCACGATGCCTGGGCCGTGGTGGGTGCTGTGGTTAGGCTCCCATCCCCATGGATGCTTTCATCAGTAGCTAGGATCAACCACGGGGCCTTCGGTGAGAGAGCCACCAGGTCTCCACCACGCCAGCCAAAACGGTGACTGGGGTCCACCACTAGAGGGAGACATCGCCACACGCACCGAGTCGTAGCTCACAGAACACTAGAACTGGAAGGGCCCTCGAGAGTCATCGAATCCCGTCCCCTGCCTCGCGGCAGGACCCAGCACCGTCTAGACCATCCCTGACAGGCGTCTGTCCAACCTGCTCTGCAATATCTCCAGGGATGGAGATTCCACAGCCCCCCTAAGCAACTTATTCAGAGTTTAGCCGCCCTGACAGGTAGGAAGTCAGTGTATCCGGTTCATACCTAGCTAAGATACAAAGCCTCTGGGTTAGTGCCTTCGCAGCAAGGTTTCTGGAGGCGATGCCATGCCGTAGGCTTCTGCTGTGTGCCCGGCAAGGTTCTGAGGGTCAGACATGCCTACGGTGCCAGCTCAGACCATGAGGCCACCTCCCGCAAAGACAAAAGGCTTCCCTAGATGCAGCCTTTAGTGGTATTATGCCAGGGAAGCGTTGCATGCTGGGTGTGAGGGGAGCACGCTCCTTGTGTGTGCAGACAGGAAGCCAAGCACCACTGTATTTTGCAGTCTGCACCTCCCTTCCCGCTCTCAGGAATTCTCCTGCAGCCTTCAGAAGGGCTGCCAGAGGAAATCCAAGATAGAAGGTCACCGGCAGGGCTGTCTCAGTCGGCGTGCTGTGAGATTTTACGGACCTGGGAAAGAGCTCAATGTTTTGTCGTCTTCACGTTGTCTAAGGGTCATATCCTGGTCCAACAGCCCAGCGGGGACAGCCAGGAATTGAGAGCGGCCATGAACAAACCTTCCTCCTCCACCATGGAGACGTTCCACTCGTGTAAATCCTGGTATGGCTGTGGCCAGCGCGCGCGCATGCATGCACGCACACGCGCACACACACAATATCCTGGTATGGCCGTGTCCAACACACACACACTATCCTGGTACGGCCATGACACACACACAATATCCTGGTATGGCCGTGTCCCGCGCACACGCACACACACATGCACGTGCGCGGTCTCAGCCTCCCCACCGCAAGGCACACAACAGAAGGCTCCATGCTGCTTTCTCTCCAGCCTTCTGCTCCTCAGCACAGCCCTCAGAGTCTCATGCACGGGCTGCCGCCCCAGAGAGGGTGGAGAGCAGGAGGCCCTGCAAGAGCCCCAGTCACAACCAGTCCAAGGAGGAAACAGGAAAAAGCAACTTCACTCAGGCAGCTGCAGCACCCCAGAGACTCCTCGAGGAGACGCCACCCAGAGCAGAAGAACGATGGATGCAGGAGGGCTGGTGATGGCGCCTGGTTTTCCTACATGGCCACGGGTGCTCTGCTACCTCCTGCTCCTTGTGGGGGAACACCCGGGGGGAAGCAGCAGTGACTGGCATCGCTGTACGTGCCAGAGCTCTAGTTCCCCTCCACTTGCCGACGGGGAGAGGGGACTGAGGGGCACCACATGACCCCATGGCCAGTTCTCAACGCCCCACTTTTCTGGGGTCCCACCAAAGTGTCTGAGCCAGGCCGTCGTGAGGAGGCAAATTCCCAGCCGGTGGCCAGCGCGCACACCGCTTCCCATGTGCATGTTCTGAGGGTGGAATTCCCAAGCAGGTAGCTCAGGTGTGGTGAGCACCGATAAACAGGAACCCGCTTAGCCTGGGGAGGTCTCAGACATTGGCTTTGACAGGCCAGGGAGTGGTAATTGCTTGTTAATCATCCCTGACAGGGCCTAGTAGAGATTAACTGGTCGCTGCGAGGAAACAACCTCTCCGTGTTGCGCGGCCGCCCTCGAGGCTCAGATTGGCCTCACGGCAGCGGCTCCGGGCTCTGCTCCGCAAGGTTCCAACTGACATTTTGTATTTTAGGAAGTGATACTAAATTATGGCCATAAACCTCCCGCGAGCCTGTCGCTGCCGTCCCTTCTGATGTTCTTATTAGGGCTTTCTGGAGCCTGGGGACTTCGCCTTTAGCAAAGCGGCACCAATCAAGCTGGCAGGGACAGGTCTCGAGTGAATTACTGCACCGGCTGTGACAGTAACTCAGGGGCGTGAGATGTCTCTGGAACGCCGGTGGATTTAAGAACGAGCTGGCGGTCGGAGTGTGCTCTAGGGGAGCCGGGTAGGCCCGGGCGTGCCAGACTCCACAAATCCAACGGCCGCTGTATCGCTCGCCACACAACGTTGGCGGCGCTTTGCTGGCGGGTGGGGAGCGCTCTGAGGTTGCTAGCTGGATGGAGCCGCCTCAGAATGAAGCGGGGGACATTGCTACGCTGTAGGAAATACGAGCGGATTGGGGCGGAGCTCCGGCCTCGCCTCGGAGGTCCTGCATTTCTAGAGGGGCAGCGTTTGCCTCACAGGCTCACTGTGGCCCTCTCCTCGGCCTCTCGCCCTTTAGGCTGTGGCCCTGGCCTTCGGACTGAGCTGTCCTCACCGTAGGCCAGTCGAACGTGCTTGGGCTGAGCGCCTCTTTAGTCCCAAGCTCCCCCTTCCGGGCTGGCCTCCCTAGTGTGCAGAGCGGGCTGGGGGAATCCGGGACAGGCTGCTCCAGGTTCCGGCCCAGGGACCCTACTGGCAGTGATTCCTCCACCCTCACAGCTGCGGCTTTTCTCAGAGCCACTTCCCCCACCAGCTCCTCTCCACTCTCCGTCCGTGGCCTGCCGGGATGCTCTGAAGGGAAGCCCTTTCAGCTAGCCCCAGTGGGTCCTTCGTGGGCTGCGGGTGCTCTGATTAGCCTGCTGCTTCTGGCTAGTTCTTAACTGGCCCCAGGTTCTTCCTGACGGCGCTGCAGCAGCCTCTGCCCTGGCTACTGGGGAAGGAGAACTCTTCGCCCAGCATCTCTCCCTTCCGCCCGACTGCAGGAGCCAGCCGGCCTGGCTCTGTCACAAAGCGCATGACTCATGTCACGTAATAGTGACATTGACTGATAATGCAACGTTTATATTCATCAACAGTATTAATTGGTGTTAATAATTATTTACCAATTAATGGCCCTTTTCAATCATGCCCTCTGCAGCATCTTTCATTTCCAAGAACCTAACCGACAGTTATTACTTCCCCTCGCAGGGTAGGCATTGCTAGCCCTCGTTTACAGATGGGGCGACTGAGTCACAGAGGGGTTACGTGACTTGCCTGGGGCATGCGGATGTTTGCTGCTGTTAGAAACAGGTCTGAAGAATTCTGCTTCCTTTATCTCAGGTCTGCCAACCGGAGCACAGAGCAGGCATGCTGCTATGAAGCAGCAAAGAAACTCAAGCTCGGAACCGAGCGAACCCAAAGTGAGACGGATGGAGGAGTTTGTGGGGTCTGGTAAGTGTTTGGTTATTTTGTCTGTTGTTTGTTTGAGTTATTTAACTATAAAATTCAGCGGACCGAGAAATATTGCTGCATTGTGTTCTACACGGGCATCTCGTCACGTTCCCTCCTGCACTCAGACCTGGGATGTCTTCCAGGGAAATGTACTTCAAATGTACATACAGGAACATAAATTAACGGAATGAGTCCTACCAGATTCCTCTTTCCTCCAGGCCGCCCCTCCTCTTCTATCAGTTTCTCATTGTCAATCATTCCCTTGTTCTCTCACATAGTATCTCTCCCCTTAGCCTCCCCCCCCAATTCCACTGTCTTTTCTGCTCCCTCCAGGCAGCCTTCCCACTCTCCATGGCCCTCAGGCCTGGTCTTCATTGGGTTCTTACCTCAGGGAAGTTCACACCCGCTAGTACCCCCCTGGTAAAAATACACCTTCTATTGAACAGTGAAAGCAAGGCCCGAGAGCCCCTACCTCTTCCCTCTCCTGCCCCACAGATCTCCGTCAGCCCTGGCTCTGCTCTCCCGTTTTACCCCCTCCTCTCCCCTCGGACATTACAACCTCACTTTGCTTTCTCGCCTCCCCTTCTCCCTGGCGGGGCTGCTGCTGGTGAATGTCTGTCTCCCTCTTCCTTGCCTCGGCCCCCATGGGGGCTCTGGATGCCCTGGCGTGTGTGGAGCGGGTCCCCCGTCCGTCTCGTGCCACCTGCCTGCAGCCACGCTCGCTCCTCCACGTCCCTCTCCTCCCTCATGATACTGGGAGCCCGACGGACAGCGAGGCCTTGCGTTCAGAGGTGGCCCTGCCGGCCGCCTGTTTGCCTCCCCTCTAGGTACTCCGCACACACCAACCGGGGGACCTGTATGCATGAGCGCGCGCTATGGGTCTGGGATTGGGAAATACCTGTGGGTTTTATGAGCCCTGCTTTGTGTTAACCTTTGATAACTTGCCTCAGTTCATTTGAGATCCACCTCAAATGGCAGAGGAAGGGGAGAAGGGTCTATGCAGCAACACCGTCTGCCCGCTGCTCCAAGGGTGCGTCTACACTGCAGGAAAGTGTTCTGAATCCAGCTTAGAGCGGCGGGAGCAACGAAAACGCCGCAGCTCAGCTTCCAGCTCGGGCTGGCAGCTTGCGTTCAAGCCTGCGTGTGAACTCAGGCTGCTGCCTCGTTCCAGGCTGCCTGGCCCTGCCTCCCCTGTGCCTTTTCACCTCTTCGCTAGCACAGGCTCGCTGATCTGCGTGACGAGCACCCTTGTGTGGGGCAGTGGAGACACCCTTCTGCACTGCTTGGAGGCCAGCGTCTCACGGAAGCTGTTCCCCCCACCCGCTGGAAGACAGCCGCCGGGCAGCGCAAAGCAGCGTTCAATGACCGGCAGTGACAACGTTCCCGCCGATGTCGGGGACAAGCGTTCGGCCACGGACTGCTCTGCAGCCTGGCAATTGGCTTCTAAGCTCCAATAAAAGAGCCCGAGGAGCGCTGGGCAAGCCCCGTTCGATCTCTAGTGACATCAAGGGAGTCGTGCCCTTGGCGTGGGTGGAGATGGCCCAGGGCCTACGCAGATACCCAGGAGGAAGGCCCCTCACCTCATCCAGAACCTGGAGGTCTGTGCTCAGCTTCTCTGCAAAGGCCACGGCATTGCTGACTATTGGCTCGTACTCCTCCATCAGTCTCAGCATGTCGGCCGTTTCCTTCGGCGTCATCTCCTGGTAGGCGCTGTGCTCCGCCTGGTCCCCGGCCTCTGCGCTGGCACTGCCGATCTCGGGGAGGCTCTGCTTCCCTGCGGGCGCGGGGGAGATGCCCGGATGAGCACAGCGTTCTAGTTACTGCAGCGCACCGGCCTTTCCTGTCTGCGGCGCCCGATGGCTTCCCCTCGCTCACAAGAGACATGGGCACAGCGGTCTTGGCCTGCTCCCCCGGGAACATGTATTTACGTGGGAAGAAAATCCCAGCAGGCCCCACAACCATCAGCCCCCCGGCTCAGGGCAGGGCTAGCGGGGCCGGGGCGAGGTGGCAGCTCAGGCTCATGGCACCGGCAGAGCAAGCCGAATCCAGAGTCTGGCTGTGCCCGAGGCGAGGGAAAGCCCCACATAGCGACGAGGCATCTACAGAGCCTGCGGGATCCCACAGATCCTCTTACCACCCACACATCCTCACAGACACTGACAGATGCAGCCAACAGTCGCCCTGCCGCATCTCAATGGACACACAGATGGGGAGCTTCCCCCCAATAGATAGGCGATAGCTTTATCAATATCTGTAAGCTGATATTGTTCCTGCACCTTGCCCGGCCCAGATAGAGCCGTTCGAGGCAAGATAAACTGTCCATTCTTCATCCCAGACCAGAACTTTCTCCATGGAGCGACGGGCCTGGGAATAAATTAGCCTGCTCTATAAATTCTCTCTTAAGCCTTTACTCCCTGGAAGAGCCATTCCTTCTCTGTGTCTGTGACTGCTCCTTAACCCTCCCTCCTCCCACCCCTGCACAGGGCCCTCTCCCTTGCTGTCACAGGGAATTCAGTTAGCTTTGTCCCAAACTAACAATGTGACACTCCAAGGGAGATTGTCCCAATTACCCCCCCTCCCCGCCCCCCGCCCACATACAATTGCAAGGCAGCCGTTTAGCAGGCAAAGTATCTCCAGTAGAGTTCTCATTTACCGGACCTTTAACTACTCCGCTCCCCTCATTAACCAGAAATCGGCCATGCCCACTTGCTGGCTGGCGTGCTCTCCGTGGGTGGCAAAAGGAGAGGTGTGTCTGGCAGCCGGGGCTGCTGGGCAAGGGGAGGAAAGGAGGAAGCCCTGTGCTCCCACATGCTGTCACCGGAGGCCCTGCTTAGCTTCCCTCTGGCTGGCCAGGACTAGTTTGTTTCTGTGGGTTGAATCTGTTTGTGCTCGGGAAGGGTAAGGTCTGTCAGACTGGGAACCCGGGACTGCGGAGCGGGCATATAGCAAAACGGCTCCATGCTGCTGTCCTGTAGCAGATACAACTGACTTGCACCCCCCATCCAGGACTTGCTGCGCACCCAGGGCTCCGGAAGTCTCGCTGAAAGGGTCGGAGAGGCAGCAGCCTGATAGTCCCTGATTGGCTTCCCATCCTGCATAAAACCCTGGGCCTTCTTGGCCGCTGCCTCACTCTCCTGTAGCTGCAGCCCTTGAACGCTGGCTTGAGTCAGACCTTGCCTGAAATGTGAGTTGGATCCTTGGCATCAGCCCAGGCCTGGAACTTGACTACAAGCTCCTCTGCTACTCTGAGCTTTAGGTTTGATGCTGCTCTGACCATTGAGCCTGACTGCCCTTTTCAGGATCCTGACACTTGCCCTGTTCTTTGTAAATCTCGTTTTTCATGAGAGCCTGCCTGCCTCAGCCTGTTTTGGGGTGAAGTCAGTGGGTAAGTCTCTCAAGAAACAGCAGCCTTTTGATAGTCAGGGAGAAAATGGTACCTCTTCTGCAGCACAGTTGAAGCAATCGATTAAAAAGTCAGTTCCCCCAGTTAGACTCTGGCCAGCCGGGTCACAAAACATGCCAGGATCCCACAAAGCGTCACAAGAATAAGGGACTGAGGATTACAAGGATCAAGGCAGGAAAAAGCCACTCGGCACAAACCATAATTACCTTCCAATGTGCAAGAGGGAACGCCGACAAATGCAATGCTGCTGGCGAGGTAGAAAGGCATTCTTCTCATCAGCACTGACAGCTGTCCACTTGTAAACCTTCTCAAACTGCAGCTCAAAATCCAGGCATTCCTAGACACCGGTAAGAAGAGCTGCAATTAATTACACTGCTGGCTAGGGCATTTACTGAATGCTGTGTGTGAGATCCATTCTGACACGTGCTGAATCTACTATAAATTTTAGAGAGTCTGCACATCTGTCTGTGTGTCCATCCATCTGTAGGTGAATCCGTTTCCTCAAGAACGCCTCCTAAACGGTAAGAGATAGGAAATTTGGTTCCTCTTATCATCACTTAAAGCAAGGTCAGGGTTTGATTGCGCCAGGACAAGGGGAGGTGCCTGGAATGTGATCGTTTCCCATCAACTGGAAAGGAAGGGGTGTGGTAGCAGGGACAGTTCTACTCACAAATGACCACAAGGGGGCAGCACAGCCCCCACCATCCCAGGCTGCTCCCAGTGAGCAGCCGCCCACTGAGCTGCAAGTGGCCCCTGCCGCTCCCGGCCGGCCCTGGGAAACAGCCAGTGGGTGAGCCATCCCACCCCTGCCGGCTGGGATCCGGGCAAAGCTGGGTCTTCTAGTATTATAAAAAAGAAAAGACATCCCATGCATTTAATGCAGCAGGCACCAGTGTCAGACTGATTACGAGGCTAATGGAGCATGGGCTGAGCAATTTGGGAGAGCGGTCGCTCTGAGATTAGGGTTTTTAATGCTGCCCCAAGGTCACATTGCACATGAAGAATCGGACGTGGGGTTAATGTGAACTGAGCTCACTGATACAGAGGTAACTCGATTTCACCAGTTCAATAGCAACAGCCCTGCTTGTGTCTGCTCTCACAATCCCAGCTGTGGAGGGGCCGGCTAGCAAGCCGATGGGCGACCTCTAAGGAGGAGGCAGATTCTGCTGTGGACCGTGGTGGTTCAACTTGTGGGTAGGGGACACGGTGCCAAGGGGACTGCTGCCTGGGAATTACCATGGATGAGAAGCTGGATATGAGTTAACAATGAGCCCTTGTTGCCAAGAAAGCTAACGGCACATTGGGCTGCATTAGGAGGAGCATTGCCAGCAGATCTAGGGAAGTGATTATTCCCCTCCGTTCTGCTCTGGCGAGGTCACATCTGGAGTATTGCAGCCAATTCTGGGCCCTCCACTACAGAACGGATGTGGACACATTGGAAAAAGTCCAGCAGAGGGCAAGGACAATGAATAAGCGGCTGGGGCGGAGAGAACTGGGTTTATTCAGTCTCCAGAAGAGAAGAGTGAGGGGGGATTTGAGAGCAGCCTTCAGCTCCCTGAAGGGGGGTTCCAAAGAGGTGGAGAGAGGCTGTTCCCAGTGGGGGCAGCTGGCAGAATGAGGAGCAATGGTCTCAAGTTACAGTGGGGGAGGGCTAGGTTGGAGATTAGGAAAGTATTTCCCTAGGCGGGTGGGGAAGCGCTGGGCTGGGTTCCCTTGGGAGCGGGTGGATTCTCCCTCCCTGGCTGGGATGATGTAGTTGAGGTTGGTCCTACTTCGACAGGGGGTTGGATTAGATGAGCTCCTGAGGTCTTGTCCAGCCCTAATCTTTAATGATTCTCTGAAGCCAAGATCCTGACGGTTTCGGGGTGACAGCGTGACCTAGTGAACAGCTCTACAGACTAGCTCTTGAGGGAGCTGGGCTTTCTTCCCAGCTTGGGCAGGGGGTGACTCCGGTGCCTCAGTTTCCCTATGTGTGCCGTGGGGATAAGGCGAAGTGCTTTCAGAGCTACAGCTGAGAAGAGCTGGGCGGTGTTATAAACCAGAATTTTACCCTTCCTTTTCTATCTCCCTGCCTGCTTGTTACTCACCGCTAGTGTCAGGTCCAATATTCTATGGGCTCCAACAGAGCTGTAGTGTGGGATGAATTTGAGAGAAGTCCAATGATCTTGCTGGAGGAATCAGCCCTCTGGTATATTTCATGCTCCTTTATAGACTCAGACTAGCTCTTAGCATGTGTTCGTACAGCTCCTGGCTGGCAGTCACTAACGTAATTTCCCCTTGAGATACTCTCTGCCTCCCGGCCCTGGCTGTGACCGGAGCCCTCCTTGTGGTGCAGAGGAGAGAGGTCTGCTCTGTAGTGAACATAAAGGGGACGCTTCACTGAGGCGGTTGCACATGGACATTCCTCAGGGTCATTTCTAGCTCCCCGGCTAACACAGCCTTTGCTGCTACTCTCAGGGGTCCCTAAGTCCAGGCCTGCACTGCCCAGCTCCTTTATAGGAGCCTAGGCTGACGGCTTCTGAGGCGGCCTCAGGGAATACAGGGCCCCGAGCCTGGAATATTCCACTGCGCCCGGCCTCTTCCTCGGCCAGCTCATTAGCACTGCGTCGTCCCAGCTTCTGCAGAGGTTGGGGCCGCGTTTGTTGTTATTGATCCTAATAATAATAATAGGCTCAGACTTTATGATGATTTATTCAGTCTCATGACACTTTACCGGGTGATACATCATGCCCTGCACTGCTAGCAGCCTCCGGAACAGCTTGTAGCAGGGCCGTCTACAGGGAATTTATGGCCGGCCTGCTTTATAGCATGCCTTATAAGGCGCTATTAAAGCAGGGGGCTATCCAAGAATGGTCTCATAAATATTAATACAGTGTTTGCCAAGGGAGCTGTAACTTAAAGCGCAGCCGAATCTGCAGTGTCAGGGCTCTGACAGCGCCAGGAGAAGGCAGGTTCTTCATGAAACGTAAGTTCGGGGAGCAGGAGCAGGCTGTGAGGTGCGGGGGCTTGTTGGATGAAGCACAAGCTGTCCCAGTCCTTGGACTCTGACGGGTGTTTGACCCTCTGCTTTCATTGTGCAGCAGAGGGAGGTTTTCCCAGAGTGGCGCTAGTTAAAATGGTGGCTCCAGATTCATTCTCAGTGGGTTCCGCAAGTCGTGTGGGAGGTGGATGGTGGCCCCGTGAGGTTGTTCTGAAGCGGAGGGGACAGTCTGTCTTTCTCGGTCCTTTCTGGACGGTTGGCCCGTCGGCAGACCTGATAACAAACCCTCGACAGGGGTAGCTGAAGGCGTCGTATCCAGCCCGTATAAGCAGAGTGGCCACCCATGCTGATTTTCACAAGCCCGTCCCTGCCTCCTGCCACAAACTACCCTCACAGGACCTGTAAGTGTCCCGAATGGCCTTGTGATAAGACATCTACCAGTGTAACCACCAGTGCGCAGATGGGACGTTGGGACCTCTGGAGCTTAGTGTAGGAGCCTCTACAGCTGGAGCTATAAAGCCAGCAGGCTCTCAGTACAGGCTGGAGAGCTCCCTTGTTCTTATCTCTTGCTGTAAGTGGTCTAAGTGCCACTGCATGGGACAGTGACCCACACTAGGGCTGTGTCTACACTGCAGGATTCTTGCGTAAGAACGGCCATTCTTGTGCAAAAACTTGCGGAGCGTCCACACTGCAAGTCCGTTCTTGCGCAAGAAAGTTTACAGTAGGTCGTCAGAAGAGAGGGCTTTTTGTGCATGAATTATTCCTCTCCCCATGAGTAATAAGCCCTCTCGTATAAGAGCTCTTGTGCAAGAAGGCAGTGTGGACGGGCAACAGGGCTTTCTTGCGCAAGAAACCTCTATGGCTAAAATGGCCATCAGAGCTTTCTTGCGCAAGAGAGCATCCACACTGCCATGGATGCTCTTGTGCAAACGCACATCTCTCGCAGACAGTGTGGACGCGCTCTTGCGCAAGAACTATGGTGCAAGAACTCTCGCACAAAAAGTTATTGCACAAGAAGCCTGCAGTGTAGACATAGCCTAGGTGTGTGGGTTCCACACGCATAGGTGGTGAAAGGGTTAGTATAGGCATGAGAGTCCGGGAGAGAGATAGAGCAGGCTCTGGGGATGGGCTTGGACAGTAGGGCAGGATCTGGACTCCCAGGAAGAGAGAGTTCTGGGGAAATATAAGGGAGATGAAAGACAAGGAGGACAGAAGTTGGGTTAAGTTTGTACTGTCGGCTTGGAACTTTGGGAGGAATTGCAGGGGAGGACTATGTGAGTTTTGGCCCTGGGAGAAAGCCCAATCCATGCAGCCTGTACAGAGACGGCCTGCAACAATTCTTTGGGTATGTCTAGACTGCACCCCTCTGCTGGCAGAGGGATGCAGATTAGGCTGGACAAAATTGCTAATGAAGTGGGGATTTAAATATCCCGTGCTTCGTTAGCATAAAAATGGCCGCCACTTTTGTCTGGCACGGAGCTTCATCGGAGAAAAGCGGCAGTCTAGACCCTGATCTATCACTAAAGAAAGCCTTTTCCGATAGCTCCTGTATACCTCGTTTTACAAGGCATAAGGGATCTATCGGAAAAGGCTTTCTTTAGCGATAGATCAGCGTCTGGACTGTCGCTTTTCTCTGACGAAGCTCCGTGCCGGAAAAAAGTGGCGGCCATTTTTATGCTAACGAAGCACGGGATATTTAAATCCCCACTTCATTAGCAATTTTGTCCAGCCTAATCTGCATCCCTCTGCCGGCAGAAGGGTGCAGTCTAGACATACCCTTTGGTAGGAATTACTCCTGGAGTCAGTAGCAAGGAGCCTGATAATGCTGATCTTGGTTGCAGATTATGGGGTCCCTGGACTGGCCCCCAGTGTGGTAGGAGGGCCTAGGGCCGTGGTGTCCAACACACTAGCCACATGTTGAGTGTGGCTAGTTGTGGGAATTGCCGCGGGGGGGACTTTGTACAGCGATGGCCAGTCAGCGGGGTGGTTGGTGTTGCATCCATAAGGATGAAAGTTTGTCTCTAGACATACCCCAGCACACCAGTGCAGCCTTCCCATGAGTTTATTGCACCCTGCGTAATAAAGTCAGGTGGTTGGCCATAGTAGCATGGGTGCTCGGTTCATTGTCCTCCTCTGGGAATGCCTGCCGCTGCTGTGGAGCAAACTGTTCTACGTGTCATTTAATTATTTCTTTAAGAGGGCCACACTTTTCTGAGCTTAGGCATATTGTGCTACTGGCATGTAACTCTTAGGCCTTGGCTTTTTGTGGACTGTCCCTCTTAAATCTCCAAGCACAGGGCTCTCTGCCAAGAGAGGCGGCCATTTTGTGTCCAGGTCAGTGCAGACTGTTACAGAGGAGACACACTGTGCTCTCGAGTGGGGAGTGTCGTCAGACCTAGCTGGGCCTGGAAAGACTTCCACTGCTTGAACGAGTAGCCGGCTCAGGCCTGTCTTTGAAATGAAAGACCAGTCCGGTGGAAGGGAGATCTGTTGGCTGGCTGTGTTCGGAGAAACACCAACACAAAGTACCAGTTCAACTTGCAAATTGTGCTCACCCCCGCCAAGTTGAAGGAATTATTTTCTAAGCCAGTCCTAGTGAGCCTGCTGTGATTCACCCCCTTTCTGGTGCCTGCAGGCCTGCCTTTGTGGAGAGCAGAGAACTATTTCAATGGCTCCCTTTCATGTATTTCTGCTTGTACACACGTGGGCAGGTTGCCAAGGCCTCTGGCACAGTCCCATTAATAAAAAACTAATTATAACCAATTTACCATGCTGCCAACAGGCAGCAGCAATGAAATACCTCTATCCAAGAGCGCTCTGCCAACTGCCGTAATGTCAGCGTTAAAGCCCAAACTGACAGCAACCCAGCACCCCCTGCTCTCCACAAAACACCCTTGCAATAAATACCCTCTGATTCAGTGTGAAATACCCGATGCAGATGCCTGTAAATAACATATCAATGTAGAAAGCAGATGGGTTGTGCAATGAGTTCTGCAAATCCTGGTGATCTAACAAGCGGCGTGCTTTAGAGTGGAGGACTAAGTCCGTCTGAGGCTTGCTAGAAAAGACTCTCATTGGTTAGGAGGGTGCAGGACATGTAGGACTAGAAGGGTACGTCTAAACTACATGGCTCCGTCAACGGAGCCATGTAGATTTGGTTGTTTGGCAAAGGGAAATGAAGCCGTGATTTAAATAATTGCGGCTTCATTTAAATTTACATGGCTGCCGCGCTGA